CCTCGTGGTTGGGCGCGACCATTCGAGATTTAAAAAAAATTAACCCGTAAAAACAAAGTTTTTCACTATAAATCCTTTATATGCGTGGCGGCTAGAGTTCTCTCGTCCTCTGGCTTGAGATGGCTGCCACCTATGGGTCAGATGATTGTCTGCCACCATTAAGCAATTGGTAATTAAATATAATTTATTTTTTCCTAAAAAGTGTAAAATTTTGGAAAAAAAATTTTTACGAAAATAAATTGTCACGCACAACGAGTCTGTGTGCAAAATGTCAGCTCGATTGGATCACGGGAAGTGGGTTAAAAAACGACCGAAAGATTTGCACGGTCGTAAGCGCGCAAGCAAGTGAACTTAATATAAAGGATTTAAAAAGGGGGGCAAAATGAACGAGGATTAATTATTTAAATTAAGTAAAAAAAATAGGGACAGGATCGGCGGGAGATGGACTGGTTGTTTTTAAATGAAATATGGAATTGTCAAGCGAGACGAGTCTGTGTAGAACATTTCAGCTCGTTTGGCTTCGTAGACCCGAAGTTATTAAGCGTCAAAGATTCAAAAAAATATGAAGAGACACACTGCAAGTTCAATCAAGTGTAGAAAAATAATAGTGTGTAATGATAATAAAAGTGTGTAATAATAAAAGTGTGTAAAAAGACACGTGCATACAAACATGTTAGCAACCGATTTGTCGAGGTGTCATCTGATGACACTACAGGCTGGGAAGTCACGCATGCTCCGTCTCTGCGTGATTCACCAACCCCGATTACGAGTTTTATGCATTCTTATTGGCGTGTGATTCTCTGCTATACAGAACGCGTCTTGTTATTACTGGATAACACTAATGGAGTAAATGGTAGAGGTTAGGAATGGCACATTTCAGAACAAATTATCAATCATAATAGGGGTCAATAAAAGGCACATCAAGTGTGCAGCCGTGAATTTACCTGTAGCGTTTAATTTGGTAATTATAGAAAGCGTGGAGTATTCGGAATGAAGCCGTGCTTGGGAGACAATTTTGAAAATGAAGCAATTATCTTTCCGACACGCTGATAATTTACGCTTGCTTGGCACGAGTTGTAGGCAGGTCAGAGCAGTAATTGGTGGAAATGAACTGAGCCACTGCTGATCACAATAATGAGGCGAGCTAGTCTAATGCAGTAAACAAAAAGCCTCCAGGCTGATCAAGCCAGGAAAGTAAATGAGCCTCCTGCATTTCAGAATGCAAGTTTTAGCAGAGGCATGTGTTAATGTGTAAATTTGCAGGCATTATCGTGACACTGTAACTTTTAATTGATCGCGATTAATATTACATATTTTTTAAAAATCTAAAATCCATGCACGCTCAAAGGAAGCATCTCAACAGATATTTCACTTATATTGAATCTGACATGTGACCATGCATTGCTGGTGATTGAGACAATACACTGACACGAGCATTGTCTCCAATGGGCTTTCGTGACTGCAGAAATTCATATTCTTTGGGTCTTTTGGTAAAGCCACGTAGATAGAAAAAAAAGAAAATAATTATTATTTTATTTCCAAAAAATTGTATCTACGTGGCTTTACCGAAAGACCCAACGAATACAAACAAGTATACTCTTTGGTTCTTTCGGTAGTGAGTTGGAGCACGTACACCAAGCCCTCAGGATGTCTCCATGGGGAGACAACCTTCTGAGGATCCAACCAAAACCATCACTTTACCATACTTAGCAGGGGTTACCAAAACGATTTCCAAAATCTTAAACAAACACAAGATCCAGGTTCGTTTCAACACAGCACACAAAATCCGTGATTTAATCCGATCTGTAAAGGATGTGATTCCTGACATGCAATACCCTGGTGTCTACAAACTGAGTTGTGGATGCGGCAGCAGTTACATTGGGGAAACGAAACGACATGTCTCGGACCGCGTTCGTGAACACAAGGCAGAACTGAAACACGGTAGGACCAACACCTCTGCCGTTGCTGATCATTGTTTTAACGCTGTGGGCTCGCACGAAATAGATTTTTCCAAGACAGAGGTACTCTGCAAACCTACCAGTTACCTTCAGAGATTTGATCATGAAGTCATCCAGCTATACAAACACAGACACAACTTCAATCGAGAAGATGGGTACAAAGTGAGCAATCATCAGAAGGACGTTATTAACTAGGTGTGTCTCTCTCTCTATGCCTCTCTCTTAGATATCTCATGCTCACATGTCCTTTGGATTGCACTCTCATGCTCACATGCCCGACAGTCCATCTCTCACAATCGCAGGACGTTATTAACCAGGTAAAGTCATAACTCGCTGTGATGCTTCCATCCTTCCTGCCGTGTGGCTGTTATCTCCGACTCTCTGAGTTGCATTGCCCTGTGGGATGCCTTTGCATTAACGAACTGGGATCTCACTAACATGGCCACTTCTGCTCCTTTAGCCTCGATGTATCGTTGGTTCTTACTGTGTTATGGGCTGTGTGTCTCACTGGCATGGCCACTGTTGCGGTGGTTCTCTTGCGTTGACGCTCTTGCCTCGTGGAGGCCACTCTTCGATCTTACATTAACATGCTAATTTCTCACATTAACATAACCATTAACATAACATAACCAGCCCCGCCCACTTCTTCATGACCCTTGGGCTACACCCATTTCAAACCTTTTTAAACAGTCTGCCTCATCAGCAGATTATACTTTCTCACCTGATGACGGACGCTTGTGTTGCGCCCAAAACGTTGTGATTTATTTTAGTTTATACCTACGTGACTTTACCGAAAGAACCATAGAGTATGGCTTCCTGCAGTCACGAAAGCTTCAAATCAATACAAACAGTCTCTAATGTAGTCTTTAGACATTAGACTGAGACCTGTCTCTGATGGATAATTTAGACAATAGATTGACATGAGTATGTGAGATGATCTATTGACAGTGAACTGACAGAACATGCTAATGGAATTTTTACAGTACGATAGAAAGTGATTGACCAACCAGTGTTTGACGGAGTCTCTAGACAACAGACTGAAAAACTGGTTTCTGATTAAGTCTTTGGACAAAATACATTCAGATTCGTGTCTCGATAGGGTCTCAAGGGGACTATTTTAGACTTGGCAACACTCAAGTCACCCGTTTTTCAAGTAGTTTTTAGCATGCATGCAATTTATACAGTTCCAGTGACATCAAAGTTTCGTATAGGGGGCCGTCCATAAATGACGTCATGCACCTGGGGGGGGGGTCAGACATTTGTGACGATGTGTGACGAGGGAGGGGGGTTTGAGAAATGTGACGTCACATAAAAATGCGCAACTTTCAATAAATATAGACAACACGTTCTACTTAATCAAATAGACTTTTTAATAAATGTTTTCTCCTACAACATCAGAGTGCAGCGCCACATTAAATACGCACTATAATGACAATAGTTTAAAGCGATTTGAAGCATGTTTTATTTTGGGGGGGGGGGGGTAGAGCTTTGTGACGTCATATTTGAGGAGGGGTCTGACTTTTTATGACGCCGTGTGACGAGAGGGGGGGGGGGTCAAAAATCGTCCAAAATCGCGTGACGTCATTTATGGACGGCCCCTAAACTAAAGCAAGACCTGCCAATAGTGATTGAAAGCTCTATTCGGCCCTCTTCAAGGCAATTGATGGTTTCACACCCCTGGCTTAAGTCATTCAATAAAGTCATAACCATTAAAACCTGAGCGATCAGTTGCACAACCAAAATCACACAAGTGGATCGTCACTACTTTGTCCACATAGTTGCACAAAAAATTAAATGAAACACAGGTCACAGATTTCATTGTGACGTGCCAGCCAATCATAGTTCGCCCCTTTAACAAATAATTCTGTAACACTGCATTGGCAGTGTTATCGAACACCATCAACCCATTCGTCAGTAACACTGTGTGGCCTTAAAAGAAAAAGAAAAACATATAATAGGTTGCGTTTTGGGAAATATGAGTTTTGCACGTAAATATGAAGACCCTTCTTCAGACCCTTCTTCATATGTGCTATGAAGAAGGACCATTTCCCGGAACATCATCGTCTAGATCAGGGGTGGGGAACCTTTCTTCTGCCAAGGGCCATTTGGATATTTGTAACATCATTCGCGGGCCATACAAAATTATCAACGTAAAAATTTGCTTGTTATATTTGGTCAAACATTTAATTAACTCACCCCTAATGTGATGGCTGGAACTGCTTCTCTTTGGCGAGGCGTGTGATGATGTTAGCTGGTATTGATGATGTTGCTACTCGCAACTGCTTTTCCAGATTTGCTCCTAGATTGATTGAATTTCGAGTCCCGCCTGCGGTTGCCTTGGTAGGGCCACACCAAATGATTTCGCGGGGCCTTACACGGCCCGCGGGCCGGACGTTCCCCACCCCTGCTGGTCTATAGGATATCGATGGTTTACTTTGAAGGCAGCGATATTGATAAATGTTTTTCACACGTCACTACAAACTACAATTCGGTGAGAAGATCGCGGGGCGGGGCGGGGGGGGGCTGGTGAGGGCTGGTGGGGTGGGGGCTAGCGGGGGGCTGGCGGGGGGCTGGTGGGGGGCTGGCGGGGTGGGGGCTGGCCGGGGGGGGCTGGCGGGGTGGGGGCTGGCCGGGGGGGTTGGCGGGGGGCTGGCGGGGGGCTGGTGATGGCAGGCGGGGGGGGGCTAGCGGAGTGGGGGGCTGGCGGGTGGGGGCTAGCGGGTGGGGGCTGGCGGGGGGCTGGTGATGGCAGGCGGGGGGGGGGGGGGCTAGCGGAGTGGGGGGCTGGCGGGTGGGGGCTAGCGGGTGGGGGCTGGCGGGGGGCTGGTGATGGCAGGCGGGGGGGGGGGCTAGCGGAGTGGGGGGCTGGCGGGTGGGGGCTAGCGGGTGGGGGCTGGCGGGGGGCTGGTGATGGCAGGCGGGGGGGGGGGCTAGCGGAGTGGGGGGCTGGCGGGTGGGGGCTGGCGGGGGGAGGCTGGCGGGGGGAGGCTGATGGGGGGAGGCTGGCGGGGGGGGGGGCTAAGCAGGTCACGTGGGCCGCCCCATGCCGCCCCACAGAAGGAAGTTTCATCCCGTGTTCGGTCTCTATGAGAGCTGTCCCACCTGGGTCACAGCAACAACAGCAATAACTACAACAACAGCAGCAACAACAGCAGGCAACAGTGTCTCTCCCACCCCGCAAGGTGAGCCGATCCACGCACCGAGACACTGGCGGCGCCCCGGTGTCGCGGTCGAGTTCTCTTACCCCGGCGGCGTGCGGCGTCTCTGCCGGCGGGGGCACACCTTGGCCCGTAGGGCAGCTTAGGAAAGTGCGGGGATCCCCGTAGTCGCTAGGCCGCGTGCGTTGTGTATCTTCAGCGCGCGATGGTGGTGGCGTTTGGTGATGGTGATTGTTGATGTTAGCGGAGGGAATTGGCAAACGAGTGTTTATGATCGAAGAAGGGATTATTTGCTGTGTGTGTGTGTGTTAGACTTATTTCGCAACGTACGTAGCCAAAGGTGCTGATCGACAATGCTTGATTACACTTGTGTTACGGTATTGTTATTGATATGAATCGGGGTGATTTCTATTTTATCTTCAGTGCGGCCGAGCGTGTGTTGTCCCAGTGTGTTGTGTGCTACGTCTGTTAGTGCGTCAATTGTACGTGTTGTGCTGAGGTAAAGTGTGCTGCAAGTGTGTGACTTAGGGAGCGGTAGCGCCGTGGTTAGCGCACTGCACTACTGAACCCGGCAATCCAAGTTCGATTCCCAATCCAAGTTCAAATGAGTACCTGGTGCGGTGTGTACAAACATCAGCTTTGGGGAGACAAAGGCGGTCGTACACGATGCTAGCCACCCCAACCCCCCTCTCATGGTGCCGTGCCGGCTTTCGTAGGTGATCGAAACACAGTCTGTTCAAGATTATACTTTGCTTCTTCGTATGTGTTTGTGTTTGTCGCTGGCGTACTCCGAAGCGAGTGTTGACCAGTGCTCTTCTAACATGTGTGTTGGTGAATTTTCAGGGTACTGAGTCGGTGTTGTGTTTACGAGCGTAGTGTAATTAACATTACGCATAGTTCAACATGTCCAACCAGTAAGTAACGTGTTGTAATGACATAGGCAGCAGTGTGTCTTAAAAAAAACCCAACTCTCTTATACGTTATATATGCTGTATATATAAGACAGGGTTGGGCGCAAATCCATTAGACATTGTGAGCAATGGCTCAAGCCACTAAAGTGCCCTTAAGCGCAACTTGATCATAAAGCAGACGCTTAGTGGCAACGTGGTGAGACCTCGCCTAATTCTGAAGGGCACTCCTGCAAAGTGGTGGTTCTTGACCCACCTCCCCATCTAAAAATCAAGCACTTATGATCACAGTTATGTCATTACTATTTGACCGAAATTGGCCAGTCGGTGGATGTTGAGATATGTAGTGCCTGCAGATTATTTTGATAAGCAAGATATCTTTATTTGATTGTGGATACAAATTCTGTGTGGTTTTTTTCTTCTTCCACAAAGTACCCTGGCTCTTACTCCCAGGTGCAAAATTTACGAGGAAAAGAATTGGTCACATTAGCGGAAAGTACTGAGAATCGCTGAGGTTTAAAAAAAATGCAAATAAGGTATTGCTATAAAACACTGTGTAGTTGCATAATATTGGCAGCTTCCACATAGCTACATGGGGGAAAATAAGTTGTGTACAGTACTTTAGGTTTCCACTCTCTTTTTTCGTAGTTTTTTGTTTTACTCATTTATGGTTAAGTTTAATGATGGTTCTGTATTTGGAATTTGAATGGCTTGCTTCAGGTTGTACTCTTCCAAACATAACGATCCCCCATGCAGCCAAAGTGGAGTTTGCAATCACCTATTGAGGCCATCACAAACACGAGGGAGCTTTTCCAAACAACCCCATACACCTATTATTGCAGTATTATGCTTAATTGTCCCATCGTCTCCCCATTGCTGATGCTTACCTGCTTATGACATTGAGGGCTAAGTTAACACTGTATAGGGAAGGTCAATTCTATAGTCAGCTATCATATTCCATTGACGTTGTATGTGGCCAGGAATTGAACATACGGACCTATTGTGTATAAACCACTATGCCACTGCAAACCAAAGTTTCACACCCATACAGGCAGACGCACCACAACCTGCAGTGTTAAATGTCTACAAGGCTCTACGAGATATTTAAATACTTTTCCCCTTCACGATCAATCTGCAAGATAATAGCAAGTTGCGGAAACTGCTTTCGTCATGGAACAACCTTTGAACAAACTCTAACAATAGAAAATGAATTGCTTAAGTGTCTCCCCATCCAAGGGTTTTATGGGTTAATATTTTAAAGTTCAGCATGCATTTTGAAAACGTATTCATTTAGCTATGTGTGCAATTCACTGTAACTTGGTGTCAGTTGGGTTGAGGAGTCTTGACTTCAACTTCAATTCTTTACCCCTAATAATGTATGGTGGAGAACAAACAAAGTCGACTGACTTGTCAAACAACTAATATTTGCACTATGAGACCTCCTTACCAGTGGCAAAATATAGTAATAGGTTTTTACCCTTTCAACTGGTACAAAAACTGACACCTTTATACAAGGGATCATGTTTGAAATAACCACAACACAAGCAGTCAAAATGCAAACAAAAAGAAAACAACTCTGATAATGATAATGATATGCACTGTCCTTGAAGTTTATTGGTCCACACCCGAGACACCTTTTCTCAGAGCCTAGTCTTCATTGGTGTTGGACCAGATGACGCCATTATCATTATCAGAGTTGTTTCTTTTTGTTTGCATTTTGACTGCTTGTGTTGTGGTTATTGCAAACATGATCCCTTGTATAAAGGTGTCAGTTTTTGTACCAGTTGAAAGGGTAAAAACCTATTACTATAACTAATATTTGCTTTCCATGTGACACAATACAAATATATGGTCCCATATACCTGACTTCAGTGGCTGCAATTTTTTTTGTAGGACTGCTGTTGATTATGGTGTATTTTTTTCAAGAAGATTTAATCCATCGAGTTTCCGAAAAGTATTTTGCAATAACATTAAAAGGGTATAATTGTAAAATGAGTATAGATCTCTGCTCATCTCTGTTGGCAGCCCTGTGCTATTTATGAAAATTGCGTATTCCTTTGGCCAGGGCCTGTTCCTCCATAGGAAGGCCACTGTTGATCTCCCACAAATTTGTACTTTATTAACCCCATATGGGGTTATGGACCGAGTTAACTTCTTACCAATAATTTAACTTGCCAAGCACTGTACCATACCAGCACCACCACCACCCGGCTGGGGATATCGGGACTATGCCAAGTTAACAGTAGCTTCTGGAGCCCAGCTAAACCCACTGTTACTCCTTCCCTTACTAGACTTAGCAGGCTGCTATGTTTATGTGCATTATCGTGCAGGAATAACACAGTCGGGGGGCCATACTGGAGGGCAGTCTCGCAGTGTGGTCTCGCATTGCTAGCAGTGGTGACCCATCGAGTGAATCTTTTGGCAAATACAAGCCAGATGGGACAGCTACGAGCTGGGCTGGAACTGGCCTCACTCGCAACTTGCACGCTCTGTAAATATTTGTCCATCGGTTTTTTTTTGTTAACAATGCGGGATACACCAACTTAAATCTTCATATTTCTTCCTTTGTTGTCTTGTACGTATTCTTTTTTTATATAGTCAACTTGGACAGTGATAATGCAGAGGCAATAGACAACTCGGATCTGCTTGTTTTTTTAAAATAAATAACGCAGCATCATGACATTTAGTATAAATACTGCATTTACAAGCATGTGCATGGTACAAAACACGCGAGCAAGTCATGCAGTAATATCCAGTGCGTGTTTGCACATGTTTATGCGAGAGTGTGTTCATCTGTTACGTTTTTAAGTTTCCTTTATTTGTAGAGGGGTGGGATTTTACTTTAAGCTATAAGAAACCTTTGGTAAATTTTTGGTATTTCAGCAAGACAATACGGGTCCGAGTATAATGTCGTGTATGTGTGCGGCATGCACATCAATATGTTGCTTTCAAGTTCTCCTTCAGCTGTGCACCTTGGAAAAGTCCACATTCGTGATTGTGATCGAAACCTCAGAGGGAGCCATGTGTATCTGCGAGATCCGTGAGGTCCAGGATAATATTTCTTTGAAATGTCCCCGTGTCATTTAATACTTCCCTAGTATGCAGCATTCAAAAGTCCCTATTATGTGCCGATTAGCGAATGCAAATTCAGAAACGTGATGCCGTTCCCTAAGATGAAAGTGCATACATTTTGAGATGACTTCTACGTGCATTAAGTGGCCTTTTAATTATTAAAGATATGCAAAGTGAAATACCAACTCGCAAAATGCCAAAGGATTACCCGTGTAGACTTTTAGACTACTGTGCAAAATTCTGTTAGTGAGCACCTATTGGAGTCCTGGTGACACATCCAGGATTTGACTGAGGCAAGGGCACTGGGGATTTTGCTGGTTCTGGTAAAGTGTTTTTTTTATCCTTTAAACCAAGGGTATGCAGATGACGTCTTGGAGCTTTAATATGAAGGGAAGTCTAGCAGCAGTTCCATTTTCATTAGCTTCTTCTGCTCTTTGTACTGTCCTTTCAAGAAACTTGCTGGCTGCATACTTTGGTTATCATTATTAATGAAGGAAACTTGAAAATAGAAATAATCTCAAGGGGAAACATAGACATAAAATAGTCCTTCACGTGACATCTTTAACATTTCACTCGTGATTTATTTGAAAGACACTTTCCGGAGGGTCCTTATTTTGTAAATTATTGACTTTCCTTTGGGGGCAGCATGGATTTCTTTTTGGCATTCCAAAAAAAACAGTAGTACTGTACCTTGGGAAAAACCCCACACCTTAGTTCGAGGAAAATAACTCAACCTCCACACATTTTGTTCCAACTTCCTTGTTTCAGGCCAGAACAAAAAATCCAACTCTTGGATTGTTTGCCGAGCACAGAGCCAAAATGCCAAGCCATAGGCAACAAACCACACAAGTGAAGGTGTAAGAGATAATAGTGAAACGGTTTCTGGAGTTGAGCAAGGTTATGGTAGGAATTTGAGAAAAGTGACTATGGGAGGGAATTCCACAGTTGGACAGTGAGGGAAGGAGCAGACAGAGAAGTGTCGTGACCTGCAGTGTATGTATGATGATCTTCTTTGGCACCGTACGTAGCCAACCGTGCTAATCGGAGGTGCGGGGGAAGGACAACAAACTAAACACAACAAAAAAAGTGTGGTGATTGAACGGTGTTAATAAGAAGAAACTTTGATTCTGCTAGACCGTGACCTTCACATGGATGGACATATCAATGAGTGAAGTTCACGGGAATAATCGCCATGTTAGTTGGGATATGTGCTCTAAAAAATGAGTCTTTGCTTGAAATTTAAACTTTTATATATTTTCTTTTTAATGCACTCGTATTGACAATTGTGTTGAGTTTATTGTTAATTGTGCTCGTGCACTGCTGTCAATGCAGCATCACCAAATAATCTGCTTAATAGGGAAGAAGAGTGATAAGGAGATGACGCTAAACATTCTACAGATAATAGAATCACCAAACTGGTTTTTGCAGCAATGTGAGCTGTCATGTGAACCGTTTTTTGTGTAACGAGCCAGTGATCACCGCCCCTGGCTTGTGTGTGTGCAGCAGGAGCTGGTGCTTCGTCAGGCGATGCCGGAGGTGAGAGAGCTGAGAGAAGCCCTGCCAGAGATGTCCCAGGCTCCCATCACGGGCATCGGCATGGTGGCCAGCCGTGGCTCGGCTCCACAGGGATACGAGGTGGTGCGTTCATTCCGCAGTTGTCTTTTCGCCATCGTCATTATTTCCTCGTTGTTTTAATTACACATCCACGATCGCCAGCTTACTCGGTGCGGCCGATCTCTCCTCATCCGTCCATTGCCTCCTTCGAAGCGCTTTCTAGTCTTCTGACAAGCATAGCCAATGCCGGATAGCCATCCTTGAGTGTCACGCTTGCAGTATAAAAAAAATGTCAGACAGCTGATTAGGGAATCCGCTGCTGGAAGAGGGCCTCCCCATGCTTGTGCCAGCCATACGAGTATGGATGGGTGAAGGTAGGGAGCATAGGTGCGAGAGCATAGAGAAGTACGATACAATTATGGATTTTGCCACATTGCTCTCTGCTGCCTTAAACTTAACACCACAATAAGCCTATCACACGTTTTGATTATACTGGACTTTCATCCAAGCACCTTCAAGGCCTAGACTTGCTTACCTTCTGATATCTTACGAGATCAGCAACATTCCGGATGATTCGGTCATAGGGAGACAGCAACATGACGAAGAGCCAAATCGGTGAATGTAATCATACTCGCGGTATAATACGCAGCCCTTTGCCAACCAGTCTCTGGATAAAGGCTCCACGACACCTTGCTGGTCGTGCAGGTTATTTGAACATGCTTCACCATGCCGGTCATTGGTAGAGGGGTGGTGTAAAGGCACAGAAACGGTTCGGTAATCGCTCGCTGCTGATATTAGCCATTGCTAGGAATTAGAACCCAGGCCACCAGATTCATAGCATGTTGTGTGTAAATTGCTGCAACACTGCTCCCCTGGTGATAATGGTACTGTCATTTATTTATTCAGGAAAGCCTCGCCGAGTCTCGGAAGACTCTATTCAGGAGGATCTCTGTTGGGATGTTTGGGATGATTGGCTACTTCATCACCTGGCCACCTTTGCAGCCCCCACTGAGTTTTGGTGCATCTCAAACTATTTATAGATGCGTGATTCACCAACCGTTTCCCTCAAAGTACTAGATTATAGGCTTGCGTCGCCACACCCGTATCTTCGCAATTACTACTTTTGTTTAGTATATATTAATATAGCTTTTTAATCACACATCTAAATATAATCTGTATACGTGACTGAACTCATTGGACTGTGTAGAACTCATGTTGGGCACTTTGATCCACTGGAATCTTATCTCCTTACAGTCATGCCCAATCGTTCTGGCTGGCACTGGTGACATATTTTTTCAAACATGGAGCCATCTGCCTCTCTTTCGTTTTGTCACACCCCGCATTGTGAGTTGGATGTCTATGTGAGGTCAGCCTTGGAATGCGGTACTGGGGTGAATTTGAATAGCTGTAATTTGAGCTTCTTGCATAATGCAGGAAGGTGCTTTATAGTGGGGTTTAATGCCAAATAGCGTGGTAGAAATGGAGTTTATTCTTGTTATTATTTTATATTTGAGGTGGGGAACCCTATTGCTCATGGGCTGGATATGACCTGCTGCCACATGAGGCCTCCCGTTTTGAAACGGCCCACAAACGATATATGTCCATCACTGCAATCATTTCGGCTGCACTAATCGTGTGCTCGAGGCACACGTTTGAAACCTGGCAACACTGTTTCTGTTTTTTTAGTACACGGAGTCACTGGTAAATGTGTAGTGCTGAACTTTACGCAGACAACTTCTCCTTTTTCCGTCGTCACTTTTTATTACAAAACTCTTTACATTCCACAACCGTGACTTCAGCGCGTTCTCTGCTCGCTCGCCGTGCTCCGCTTGCCTCGCTCGCTCTGTCCCCTCCCTCTCTCTCTCCGTCTCTCTCTCTCCCCGACTTTCCTCTCTGCTTCGCCTGTCTCTGCTTCGACTGTCTCGCTCTGGGCTTCTCCGTCTCACTCCGACTCGCTCTCTCTCGGCTTCTCCATCTTACTCCGACTGTCTCTCTCCTCTCCCTCTTGTATATCTTCTCTGTTCCTGTTCCACTGCTAGCCTATCCTATCTCTCATATCTTCTTCTTCTCCCCGACTGTCTCCGTCCAGCTCCCAGCAACAACTCCTATAACCACCTAACGAGCCGTCTCTCTCGGGCCGTTATCCTCCCAGCAACACCTGTTTGCCCTGATGCGACCCCAATGTCCATAACCCACACGTGTTTCCAATTCCCCTCTTGGCGCGCGTTAATCCACTACAAATGTAAGCCCTCATTATTTGTCTTACTATTGGGTAAGGCCAGGGGTGTGTGTGTGTGAACACGTGTTGCCAACAGTTTTTAAAAGTGCTATTCGACCTGCGGCCGTGTGTTTGTGTTCGCGGCTCCAAAAAAATCTCACCACGTCAAGGGAACCAGCGGGCAATTTTCATCAACCGCTGGTGATGTTTGATTGGTCCTGTATTTGTTTCTTGATGGCTCCTCGCTCGTGTCGCCGTATTGCTTGCAGATCCTAAACTCGGACGACAATGTGGAGGCCGACCTTTGGAAAGACAAGATGTTCAAGTCGAAGACAAAGCGCTACCTCTGCGTCACCCGGAAAGTGGGTGCCTGTCGTCGCCGTGGTCATTAAAGCGTGTGCATGCACGTGGGGGTGCTTCGTGTGCTACGCATGTTATAGGCACGCCGGGCGGTGGCATCAAGATTTGTGAACTGCAGTCCAGTCAGAGAGCTGCGTTTGAGTCGTGGCTGTTCGTATCTTACACTGGTACTTATTGGTATATGGCAGGGGTCGGCAACCAAAATAACAAGAAGAGCCATTTCTTTCCAATTCGGTACAAAATTCAGTATTTCAAGAGCCGCAATGCATCTATGTACATACGTACATATCGTCAAGAAGCAGCCCGTAAAGAGCCGCATGCGGCTCCGGAGCCGTAGGTTGCCGACCCCTGGTATATGGGATGCTGCTGCTGCGATGTAATGCTTGGCACACTGGACCTGCAGTCCATAGTTCGCCAGTTAGATGTGACCTCCCGGCGCGGCCGTTGAAATGATGGGCCAAGTTGAATAAATTCTCCCGCATCTCTCTCCATCCCAACTCTGTACACCCTGCGGTATAAATGTGTACACCACATTTGATCGGCAGGCTTTATGTGGTGGGGGTAAAGTGTGGGTACTCCAACCACTTTCAAGACATCTGGCAAGTTTGGAAGAGTAGGCTAAAAATACCCATTAGAGGGCTTCTCCAGAGCTTCCTGTAGTGTTGACCCTACTACCAGCAGTCGCGTGAGCAGGTATTTGCAGGGCTGCACCACTTGTGGGTCTGCACGTGGTAATCAGCAGGAGCAAACAGATCTCTTAAGTGCTGACTTGATATGCAAAGCAAGTTTTTAAATTGCTGTTTTGGCGAGACAAAATAATAAGTAACAATATAAATTATGAATTTCAGTTTTTTTTACCGTTAATGAGAGGAAAGGAATATTTTGACCCTTTCAGCTGTCTGTGTTGTTTTAGGAAATTGAGGTTAACAGCAACGGAGTCTTGCATAATCAGGAAGAGATGATTGGGGTAACGCTGTTTGCAGAGCCCTAATTTTGTAGCAGGGGGTAGTGGGTGTTACCAGATTAGGAAGTCCGTCTCCCTGATATGCACATTAACTGCCACAGCCGTTTACCAATTGAGGAAACAAAAATCTACCAGTTTTTCTGTTTAAATAAGCTTTGAGCGGTCCGCATCTCCTTAGGCGGCCTTGATCCTCTGGATATTCCATGTGTCTGTGGCAAGGCCCATTTGCTCTGTTGGGTAAGCAATGGCATCTGGGGAACAGTGTTGGTTCACAATGAAGCAGTTACGTTCATTGTTTGAATGAGTTGCAGTGAGATTTTTTTAAAATATATCTTTTTTGGGTTTTGTTATCGATTATAGCCCAATTGTACTCTGGGAGTGACTACACAAGGCGAAGAGGCCTCCGCTCCGGTAACTCCCCGCTGACGACAGAGCTGATACGGCGTCGATTGCCAGCTCTGCTGCAGCAGCAGCAGCACTCTAAACACCGCCACCAAAAGACGGCAATCCGTTGTGCATTCTAATAATTATAACTCCTGATTTATGTTTGTCGATAATCAGGTCAACGTTATACCCTGCCAATGATTGTTTTGCACCTTGCTCGCCTCCCTTGGTAGTCCTGAGGCAGTGCTGGAAATTCGACTTGCCTGTGGTTGTCATAGTTGGGGGTTCTGATCCGAATCAAAGTATTGTTTTCTTTTTGTCTCGGTTGTACGGACTCCTTCGTGTTGCTTGTTTTGTTTGTTCTGCCTTTATCTAATCCGTTGGTTTCATGGGCCTGAAGTCACATGCTTGCATATGATTTGCATATAATTAGCATTTGATTTCCATAAATCTACGGTTATTGATTCCTATGCACGTGATTCGATGCATGTATGGCAATCAGCTAATCGTTTCACGTGAATGTCGAATATAATATGAATGGAGTGATTAGACTGAGGCCATCAAAAAACGGTAAACCTGATTTAATGTTACGGGCTCCGCTTAAGACATTGGCATGCATTTTTGTGATTGCGAAATAATTTGTTCTGTATTGTGTCTGCGGGCTCGAAACAGACAAACTAGTTCCGCAACTTCCTCGTGTTTGCCTGCATATGTACACACCACGCACACGTGATCACCCTGGGCCAAGGGGTGCGCAGACCCGGGTTACATCATGAGAACGCAAATTTTAATGATCTTTATTTTATCAGAATATTTATTTAGACTGGAGGAATCCGATGAGCTATGGAGCTCTTTTTCACAGATGTCCAGCTTAGCTGAACATAGACACGTTTCTGTACTAGTTTGCATACCAGTTTGCAGTGCCATCATTTTTAGGTGAAAACATTCAACAATATCGACATTTGTTTAGCTGTTTGCGAAATTGTTCTGTCGCCTTATTATGTTTATTGTTATTTGGTACAAGGATGATTCCATTTGAGCCAGTTACCCGGTCAGTTTACAATGGAGATCCGTGGTGCATGAGCACAGCAGCACTGAAAACAATAAGACAACTTCAACATTGCAGAGAATGAGTACATTCTCCTATCAACGGTGGTCAAGGGAAGCACTTATTAATTATGTTGTGTGCTCCATATACAATACATTGGTGTTGTGCAGAAGTTCACGCACTGCACTATCAGCCTGGCAGCACATGGCTAACATTATCAGCGAGATTGGTGTCTGAACTAGTCCGAGACATCCCTTCACCATTCTAGATTTGAAGCTTTCGTGATTGCAAGGATTCATATTCTTAGGTTTTTTCGGTAAAGTCACGTAGGTAAAACATTAAAATTAATAAAAGTAAAATAAAACAAAAATAAAAATCACGACGTTTCGGAGGCAACACAAGCTTCCGTCTTCAGGTGGAACCGTCACAGCCACGACAGCTGTATCAAGAAAATGAGAGATTACAAGAGCTACCACTCCGTATATATAATGGTTGGAGAGGGGAAGGGCCAAGTAAGGCACACTTTTTATTAATATGGTAAGGTGAGGCTTAAGACTAAGAATAGACTGCATAACAAAAGGCTGAGCCTTTGTTATGGAGAGGTACGGTGTGTGACTAAGCCTGGCCTACATAACAATAGTGTGAAAAAAGAAAACAACTAAACATCGTGATTTTTATTTTTGTTTTATTTTACTTTTATTAATTTTAATGTTTTACCTACGTGACTTTACCGAAAAAACCTAAGAATATGAATCCCTTCACCAACCCGCTCTGGGCAGTGTGGTTGGTCAAACAAAGCCCTTGACCGACGAGGTTTGAGGAGGCCTTCAACCAGCAGTGGATAACAATGCAGCTTGTAATTAATTAATAATTATGCACGACATTCAATGGCACAATCAGATTTTTAAGTGTATCGATTACGACTGGGGAGGTCGTGAGCTGGAATCCCGGTCGGTGGTCAAATCGGCGCATCCCCCCTGAGTACCAACTCATGGGACATCAAAAAATTATGCCCCTGCCATGGTAATGTGGAATGCCCGTCAGTGGCTTAGGGCCACTAACTGATATGAATTATTAACTTGATAAGTAAGATGCTGACTTTTTTTAATTCGACAGAGTATATGTAAGATTAAATAAATAAATCACAACTGAAAGGAAACTTGATTAACTTAGAAACCTTCGGCAAGCATCATTTCAAGGTCAATAGCTTCTATTTCTGAGTGTAATATTGCAGACTTGGACTGGGCTTATACTTGGCATTCTCAATCAAGTTACTATTTATTTATGAGTGTGTGGGTGTACCTGCACAATGTAGGAAGGTCCTCATTCAGCATTGGATTGACAAAGAGGCTGCACATCCATGTTTGTGTCATGTGTGTGTCATGTGTGTGTGGATCGGTCAATCAGTGACTGTTCAATCAAGCATTGAGCCATTCTCATGTTCATTGGCAGTCCTGATCATTTGTAGATATTCTACATTCCTACGGTGGGGCCAAGCTATCCATAACATAACCGCTCTTGACTTAATGCGAAGTGGCACTAATTTTAATGACCACGGAGAGATGATCGGCTGTGCCGACACGTGACCTGATTGTGAGTTGGATCCTTTGTCACAGCACCTACAGACAAGATAATATATAACGTACGTTGTAATTATATCCATCGTTATTACTGGTGATGATTAGGTAATACAGGGCACCCATGAAGGTGTCATCCGTTTAGTAAAGAATTATAAATGATTGTATGATTTATACGCTTGTTTACCCAGGAAAGCCTCACTGAGAGTCTCCGGACTCTTTTTAATAATGGTTCTGCCAAGCTTATTCAGTCGGGAGCAATGATCGCTTGTGTCTATTCCAATTGAGTAATTTCGTAATCCGATTGAGGAATAATTGCACGGCGTTGTGAGCCGGGTCGATAAAGCTACACACTCGCACGTGGCAGCGTGGATATTTTATCGCACGAGTCCGGTCCGGCTGAACCTTCGCGCGTGCCCCGTCGTGGTGTGGGCGAAGCGTTTCGTCGTCGTCATCTCGCTGTTCGAGAACAGTCGCAGGCGCTCGCCAACTTCTCAGCAGTGATCATTTTGCGACGGCTTCTGTTACGCGCCGCCGTCAAAGGTCACTGAAGCGTTTGAGTTTTTTTTCTCTCTCACATTTAACCTGACATTCAACTTGCCACAGTTCAAAGAGCTGCCTTATTTATAATTAGTTGAAATGGGTGATAATGTCATGAACACTTGTGTACAAGCACAGGCAACGTGTACGATACGGCATCGTTGCATGCGCTCTCTGCGTGCATGTGGGCGTGCACAAGCCCTCTCGTACACGCGATAAATATATTAATCTTTGATTCAATTCGCTTTAGAACCTGGCAGGGTAATTGAAGATAAAAGTGCTTCCATGGCGTCAAGACGCAGCAGGAGGCATATTAGGGGATACTCTGACCTATTAAACACCAACTCGGATTAACATGAAAGAACGGTGCTCTCTGATGTTTATAATTGCAGGCAGGAGGAGTAGACACTCGAAAGCCCAGACTTTATTTTGCAAAACCCGTCGGTGTAATTTGTTTAATTCGATAGTAAAACTATCAGTCTTGTTTTGATGGGTCCAAGCTGCGCAAGCCGGTACAAACAATAACCATTTATGTTTATTCCGTAGATGTGATAATTTCAACATAATGTAGAACATTGTCCCGATGTATGAGTATCACTACAGAGTTTAATGTGTCTGTGTAGATCAGTGTTTCTCAACTCCAGTCCTTGTGATCCACATTTTCGTGATTAGCAATATTTTCTATTCGTATGCAAATTCTGGGCGCTGCTGACTTGGCTGCACCTGATTGTTGTTAATCATGGAAACCCGGACCATGGGGAGGGGTCATGCGGACTGAAGTTGTTCACGCTGCAGTAGATTAACAGCGAGGTCAGACTCCTTCAGGTACACGCTCATCACAATGCGATCCACTAACCCCTGCCTCTTTATTCTTGGTGGGAGGCATGCGCCATCGTACCCAGCTACTAGGCTCTCACCTCGTTAAATAAAGGTCACATAAAGGACATTGCAAAATCCAATTAAATAAGTAGGGTGGGGGGGCGGGGGGGATCATACGCGGGCGTGAATAGCCAGAGGCGTTTGAAATATTCGCCTGAGTTATGTTGAAGCTGCTTGCAGAGTGTGGCCAACACTTTGAAGTAGTTACCCCACAGAGTGGATACTGCTGTAACCACTCTGCCGTGGTGGAATGGTTATCACACTGCACTTACGATCCAGAGCCCCTCGGTTCGATCTCCAGGCGAGGCAGTTGAAACAATTTGGGGAGGTTTATTAAGTTCCATGCGGCCTCTCTGTCCACCCGGCAGTATTAATGGGTACGCCATGTATTTTTTTACATTTATTTTATTTTATACCTACGTGACTTTACCGAAAGAACCAAAGAGTATGGGTACGCCATGGTTGATCAGCAGTGTGAGCGTAGTTGGGTAAAGTGTGCGAACTTCCATCACTAAGCGCAGTGATGATGCAGAGGGTCGCAAGCAAATTCAGTTCTCCAGCCTGCGCGTGTGCCTGCGTATGTTGAGCTGGTGGGAAACCAGTTGAGTTGTAATGGTCATAATTTACTTGTCGGGAGTTCTCCCGAAATGTAGAAATAATTTCTAACTTTCTTTAAAGAAACATTATTTGTAGCAAATAACTATCGTGTCAACACACCCCTCTCCAGTGGCACTTGTCTATCCGTTGTTTGATTTTGAAACGAGGCCTTTGTCACGTGCCGCCTTATTGTAAATGGTGAAGCGTATAAGCTGGTGCGAGGGTTGATAACCAAATTATCATTCGGGTCAAAGGTCATTTTTTGGTCATTTCGAACTTGTTCACGTAATCTACATATCATCATTCCAATGTCACCTCAATCCTTCAAATTACTGGAGCAGTTTAAGATTAATTCTCCGGACAAGCAAGCATGCGTATAGATACAAGCAAATGTAAGCAGAAAACAATCAATGTGTGGAGATACAGAATATACTGCAGCTTATTTTTTGTGTGTACCTATAATGTTCCATAGAAACGCATGATCGTGTTTACATACATATAAGCCACATTTAGTCACACAACAGATAAGCAGACAATCACTTAAACTTCTGGGAGTGCATAATTCAGCAGCATTGATTCGGTGCAGGTAAATTCTGGACCGGTTTCAACATACAGCGTTTCATATACGCAGTCAGGTTTTCTTGAAGCAGTGATGGTCAGCTGCCAGATGCTAGTGGCAAAGACCCCTTTTAGATATGGGTTCTATTCGACGCTAGGTTATATAATACGTAATAAAAAATATTATTAGCTTCAATGTGGGTGTATATTATAAATAACAAAATAGGTATGTGGTAGATGTTTGTGTGTGTCAGGCATTGTGTACTGCAATGCAACATCATTGCCACATGGTACTGGAGCCAGTCCGGGGAATATCCTAAGAACTACTCGGCCTTAAATTAGCCCGTAGTGTGGTGTGTGAACAGCAGTACTGGGGAACAGCGGCTGGGTGCGGTGCCACATGGGCGAGATGTTAACTACCTCGCTCGGTGTGCATAAGTTCGTGGGTTCAATCCCGACCCTGACGCCTGTATATTTGGAGTTTGTGTGTTCTCCCCGTGGTCGTGTGGATTATTCTCCGGGTCCTCCGGGTTTTTCCCTCCACATTTAGAAACATGCATTTCGAGTATTTTTCTTCTAGAAATGTCCACGTAATAAGCGACTTGGTTGAGCTATCATTTGTGGCCAGGTCGCTTCTGAAAAGAGCTATACAGCTCAGTGGGCCTTACCTGGTAAAATAAAAAAAATATAGGGTGTGTTGCTGGTCCACCCCCTCCTTTGCTTTGCCAGCCTTAGAGGACGATGCCAATATAAATCATGGGTGGAAAAAACCCGATCTTTCTAGCGGCAGGCATCGGGTTTTTTCTTTAATACAATTTTAACCTGGTTTAATGAATACGAAACTCTGATAGGCTTAGGCTGCTTCCTCGTCGGTGCTGCTATCGTACTCGGGGCCGTCGGGCACGGGGTAGTGGTAGAATGCGGCGGGCACGTTGGTCGTGATGAACACGAGCTTCTCCACAATCGTGGGCGCCAGTCAGTTCCTTCGCTTGGAATGGACGAAGCCCATCGTTGAGAAGTGCAGTTCTGCAATTAGAACCAATTAAACCGGATTTCTCCCAATCTCAGATGATCGGGTTTAATATAAAAATACAATTAAACTCAATTCTAAAAAACCCGACCGTGCCACCCTTGATATAAATAGTGCTTAGAAAATAAGCAATGATTCACCACCCCTGCTCCCCCAATGATTCCGTGGGTTTTTCTCGAATTGGGGTCACAGTTTTCAACGATTGAAGAATTGATTTTTGGTCTCTTCTGCCATCTCGTCGGTATTGTTTCCAGTTGTCCCTGTGCCATTCATACACCTTGCTTCGCTCGCTTTTCTGAAATGTAACATTTGCATACAGGTACATCGTAAACAATTTGTTGGTGGATGTTTACTGAATACGAGATTCGATTTTAATCGATGAATCAATGTATTATCGTGACAAGAAGAATATCGATGCTCTGTGTCCTGGGTCGTTCAAGCTTCCTTAATGAGAAAAATACATTTTACATTCTCGGCAGGTACTCCTTCATGGCCCTCGACTGATTTCGCGTCATTCACATCATAGAACTTGCAGTAATGATATCGCCGTGACATTACTGGAGTGCCATAATGATGGGCCAGACCATAATGTTAAAGTATTTTTCTTTCTTCCCCCCCCCCCTCCCCCCATTATTAAACGAAACATCACCACTCACTTTGGACAGCCCAGGACAGACAGTCTCGGTACGATATTATCGTACAAAATCAACGGCGTTCGTTTGATTTCGTTTGTGGCATGCCATTTCCGTGAACACTTTGCCATTCCGAGATGTCTGCAAGTTGCAGGGTGCGGGAGGGGGTCCCGTTCGCAGCTGAATCTCGGAATGCGCTTAGAGAGACGTAGTGCCGTTGTTTTTAAAGACATTGTAGTCACCGCAAAGAACTGTAGCGACACGATCGCCTTATGGGGGCCTCGGTACCAATAATGGGAAAGGGTTAATAGGCGCTCGCTAACAGGTCGTGCTGCTTTACTGCCGCCGTATCGGGGTTAATCGGGGGTTGCGTGTGCGTGTGACCCGCAGGGACATGGCGACAACGTGGTGGTGGACATGAAGCTGGTGGGAGAGAAGGAGACGCTGCCCGTCGGATTTATGGCCGTGCAGGACACCCTGGACACGAGTGAGCCGCCGAGGGCCCTAGTGGCCGCATGCACTTGCCACAGAGCCACACACTCACTCACCGGGGGGGTACAGTAATAAGCGTGGACGTGTAACCGGAAGACATAAAGCTGAGTAACTTTTACAATATTCCGGTTGCACACGCGCAGCCCGTTTGTCAATCCGTTGCTGGTTGAGGGCCTTTGAAGTACTTCACTACGCTGGCTCGTGCTGCGTCCGATGAAGGTGCGAAGCGTAAGGAGTACAGCGCGACAATTTGCTACACTCTGCTGGCAAATGCGTAGCCCCGCAGCAGTTCTACAAGCAACCTAATTTGCCTGGTGGTTGCCCATCCAAGTGTGTTATCCAGCTTCTGAGATGTGATGATGGGGGCACGGTTACCGGAGATTTGGCCTCAATGGTCACGCACGTTTGTTACAATATGGAATTGTTTCTCTTCAACGGGCAATACAGGTGCTCATTATCCCCTATCGATTTTCCAAATAATTACGTAATCAAGTTAATGGTAGTTATTCGAGCAAAATGTGAATTGCAACCCCAATAACTGTTAAGATATATGCATATGCGGTAAGTTTATATGGTCATATTAATGACTGGAGCACTAACCCGTAAAAGTAATGATCACAGGCTACTGTGCTGCATGGCAGACTCGTAAATGTTTATGGATATGTCACAGCCCGTGTATTAGTAATGTCTGTGCCATTAAAGGAAGTGAAGTCAGTGATTTCCTGCTTGAATTAGCACTGCGGCGGTGCTCTTTGCCCGTTTGCAGCTCTGAGTAGGTGCTCGGAATTCCATATTCCAACGGCGGGGTGTGCGAGTCTGTCCATAGGACAACCACAGTTGACTTCCCCCACACAGCGTTACTAATTTTATTGACCCCGGAGGGATGATGGGCCGAGTCGATCGCCAACCAGGATTTGAACTCGGCAACCTTTCGCACTGAGCTGCTCGCTCGACCGTTGAGCCACCTGTCCGGATGACGACTCAACCCGAAAACAGCTGATGTGGATGCGTACCTGGCTGTTATGTTCCAGACTGTTGCACGCAATTTGAAAGCTTCATTCATGAGAAACACCGATCTTGAAATCTCAATTTGGCACTTTTACCATATCGCTCGAGTAGCGTCACTCCATCGATGTGTTAAAATCTGCTCTCATGACACCTGGCAACATCACTGGAGTACCATAATGACATGATTAGTAATAACTTGGAAGTGTTTTTTAAAATAATTTAATGAAGTTTTACACGATGAGACGGTCTGAGAAACAAAACACAGCCGAGGTACATATATTTTAGACTTAAGCTGTGGGTTTGGGTTAACGGGTTTTATGAAGATAGATAGGGAAATTTTTTTTTTTTTCAGAAGGAAGGGCCCAATGTGCTGTTAGTCTCTGTTTCATGGATGACCTGCGACAGTACAGATATTGTACAGTGCAGATGTTAGTTACAATCATGGTTACATAATTCGCGATACAAACAGCAAGTATCGGCACAATACATGCTCACTAACAGCTCTGGCCTGTGTGGTCTATAGTGATAAACAGGGGGGCCCTTTCCCCTGTTGATTTGTGTGATTGTATGCTCGAGGCTAAGTGTTGATGCGTGCACCCTAATTGAGAGTGGATGTTTAGTGGCTGTCTGTCACGCAGTAGCAGGACATTCCCCTAATTCAACTAAAAATGAACCGCCTGTGCTGTCCTGACCACACGCTGCCCATCGTGCGCTGTGCCGGCATACACAGTCCTTCGCCAATGCAATACACGTTTTGCATTCAAGCCGAAGCATTGGTCATCGTATGTAAATGCTGCTTATCACCATACATTTGAACATCTTTTCGAGGATACCCATCCCACTGGGAAAACCGCCGGACACTCTATGCACACCCCCACCCTGTGTGTGGGGTATGCGCGGCCGTTTTATCTGCTCCTCGCCAGATTGAGCTGGCGTTAGACGTTGCCAGAGATAGGGTGGGTCGCACGCAAGGGTCTCTGGGCTGTGTCCGTGCACTGCCTCTGTCATCAGTCTTGTGACTGAGCCCGCTATGCGCAAGCGTCTTTGCTGACTCAAGCCCTTCCGGATTATTAGCCTTCTGCAAAAGTAATGATAATGGGATGCCGTGTTGTGTAGTGGCCCCATTAATTACGTGATGCCAGAGCCACTGTATTACTAGGCTGTCATTTGTGTTTAATTCTAACTGTCCATGTTAATGTTCAATGCAAAAAGGCAACGATTTCCCTCTTGCCGTATAGAGCGATTGGGGCAAGTGCTGTCAGCAACCACCACTTATTAAGACAGGTATGGCGAAAGATGGGGGCGGTGTGTGGCGAGCATCATGCACTGGCCACCTTTGTTTCCCCAGTAACTGATGTTTATACACTGCACCAGGTACTAATTTAAGACCGAGTCAACCTAGGGAAGGTGCAGGACCAGTTTAGGTATTCGTCACTCATGTTATGCATGTCCAGGAATTGGACTCTGGTCACCCCCAATCTCAGCAGTAGTGTGATCACCATTTTGCCACTGTTCACTAAAACCTGGGGGGCACATATGTGAATAATAGGTGGTAGGTGAGAGTGTGCAAGTGTAACATGTATAGATCCCTGTGTTCAAGTCAAGTTGCAGCTTATCTTTCACAGTCCACCTGACATTGCGAGCAAGGTCAAGTGACGCTTTTTTTTGTATTTAGTTTGCAGATGCGGTTGAATTGTGCAACACCTATACAACGTGTTCGGTCCACCTCTTGCCACGAGGCCAAATAATTTTGTGAGGCATTGGCTAATTGGGGCGCTGCGGTGGCGAGATGTTAACTTCCTCGCCTGATATGCAGGAGGTTGTGGGTCCGATCCCGACCCTAACGCCCGCATATTTGGTGTTTGCATGTTCACCCCGTGGTCGCGTGGATTTTTCTCCGGGTTCTCCGGTTTTTCCCTCCGCATTTAGAATCAACACGCATTTAGAGTATAGAGGCTGCGATGAATTTCCATGTGATGAGCCACTTCGTTGAGCCATCATTGTGGCTAGGTAGCTTCTGCAAAAGAGCCAATTAGCTCAGTGAGCCTTGCCTAATAAAATAAAAAAATAGTTGATTTTTTAATTGGCGTTCGCTGGGTTCCCGGAAGAACACACGTGTGTTGCACAATCGGAGGTGAGGTAGTGTTATGTTTAGCAATAGCACCAATGTCCAGGGTCACCGTGTCCCGATCTTATCAAGCAAAGGCGTGCGAACTTTGTGCTTTTGAACAAGAATCTTCAATCTTTTCAAATGCATACATTTACACGCTGTTCATATTCAACCCTTTGTTAATCCACTGCTGAATGCTGCCCTGCGCCCTGTACACATTAACAGCTTTTACAATGTGTGTCTAGCTTTTGTACCTGTCATTTATTGTATCACAGTTGTGCTGTAAGTGTGTGTGCTACTATGATAGCACGTGTAAACATCCCGTGTGAATGGCCTGACAGTGACGCGTACATTTTTTTGTTGACATTCTTAGAGGTTGTACATCTTACACAACCTCTACTCCCTGTGATCTTTCCCCCCGTTGTGAACAAATGTGGCAATGGCAATCACTCTGTCCAATCTGCCACACAACCTCTTATGGCGAAGCTTAAAGAGATGCACATCCAAAATGTAACGTTTTCTTTTCAATGTGCGGTAGATCTGTGATTCTTCTACGTTTCTCGTTTCTTTTGTTTATCTTATTGTCGGTCATTCCTGCCCATGCTGGACATCTGCAAAAAAGAGCCTCATAACTCAGCGTATTTCTCATATCTAAAATAAAGATTCTGATTTCCGTGTTGGAATCTCCATTCGCTTGAATGGGACTCTTAACAGGGATCCTGCCATGGAAGATTTGTGTGATAGAAAAGGGATTTTGTTTTGAATCTTTTGCAAATCTAACCTAAGTAGGCTTCGGCCATGCTCGACTTATCATAGCTAAGCATCACCAATTTCAGCTGGACAGAACCTCCGTTGAAATGTATCAGCAATGCCTCGAGAGTGGAGCTTGTCCCATTCCACCCCGGAGTCCAGCGTGGCATTCGGGCTCGATGGGAGGGCCCGTTCCATCCAGTGCCGGTCAACCTTGCCATGTTCCTTACCCATGCGCTGCTCTGAAGCACAGTGCACTAAGGGTTTAGCAAAGGTCATACCGTGGACACATAGCCGCCCTGTGTACATGCCAGACGCTTGGCAGTAGCCGAGGCTACAAGTGCTACGTAGCCATCCTTTCTTTCTCCTGTCCAAGTAAGTATTGAGGCAGTATTCGTCGCTCGTTGTTAGAGCCGTGAGCGTGTGGTAGAATTCCACAATCCTACGATGGCGGTCAGTCTATCCAAAGGACAAGCGTTGTTGGCTTCCTCACAATGCGGCCCTCGTTTTATTTACCCTGGAGGGATGATGGATGATGAGCTGAGGGTTTGGGTGGAGTCAGGCGAAGTTTGCACACTGGGCATTGGTAGCCCTGGTGGTCCCAGTGTGGTAGTAGCCCTGGTGGTCTCAGTGTGGTCGTCCTGGTGGTCCTAGTGGTAGTCCCTGGTGGTGCCGATGGTTGACCCCAAAATGAGGAGGTGATTATTGACCAGAATCCCCATAGAAACGTATTACATGGGTATGGATAGTTCCCATGGATTTGTCCCCCTTCTCTCCTGACCACCCCTCCCCCCCCAATATTTCCACGGTTTGTGAATCCGCAACATATCAACAAGCTCTAATGTGCTTGCAGCCAATGGTTGTTCATGCTGAGACGGTGCAACTTGCTGCACGTAAGAAACCCGATCTGTTCTCAGGTGGCCGCTTCCCGGCATTCAAACCCAGGGCCTCGGCGGTGCTGGCTCGGTGCTCTTACACGTGGCCACGGCGATCCCGAGCGACCCGGCCGCGTCCGGCTTTGCCTTTCAAGTGTCATGCCACCCTTGCTTCTTTTGTAGATAATATTTCCCGCAGCGGAAGTGAAAGACGAGAGCCCGATCTCGGCAAAGAAGCCTGACGTGCCTGGT